TAGCTATCCTAGTAGGTGTAGGGTAGTATCTCATTGTGGTTCAAATCTTTAACTTTAAAATTCTTTCAATGCAAAGACTGTATCAAATAGACATTTAAATAGTTATTTTTTGACCCAGATTTTGTTTACAGTTCCTCTCTTTCTCCTCTTCTCCAAATATAAGTAGCGGCCAATTTAGTCATGGGAAAGATAACTTATTTCTTTATTCTGTAATTTATTGTAAATATATCAGGTTCAATTTGTGTAAGCACTTTGTATTTTCCTTAGTCCTATATGTGGTAATCTTATAATGGAATGAACTTATTCATATATTTATTTGAAAACTAATGTGCAAAGTATTGTCTTAAGTGCAGAGGATACAATAATAGTAAACAAGAAAAATGAAAACTGCTATTACATGAAGTGTTCTAGTTGGGGAGACACATTAAACAAATGCAATTTCAGGTGGTAATAAGGTGATGATAAATAAAAATAAAGCAGAGGAGAGGTGGTTTGTGCAGGTGCTACTGTAGGTAAGCTAGTTTTGGAGAGCTTCCCTGAGGAGCTAACATTTGACCAGAGTCTCAGTGATGTGAAGATGGAAACTATTTGAAGATCTGGGAAGAAACATTCCAGATAGAACATACACCTAGTAGAAAGGCCTTTATCAAGGAATAAGTTTGTGGTTTTCGCGGAACAGTAAAATGTGTATTTATAAACCCTAGGGAAACCACCTAAAATTTAAAAAATATGTATATATATAAAATTAGGTAGCAAATAATAGAGATAAAATTGAGTAATTTAAGAAATTATTTGATCAGACAGGAAAAAGAAAAAAGGAACAACAAGTAAGTGGATCCAATAGAAAACTCGGAAGATTATAGATTTTATTCCAACTATCTCAGTAATTATATTAAATGTAAGTATTTTAAATATACCAATTATAAGATTGGATAAAAAGTCAAAGCATATCTACAAGAAACTTGCTTTAAATACAAAGATCTTGGTAGGTTAAAAGTAGAAGAATGCACGGGTAATGAATAACCAGAGAAGTAAATTAAGAAAAAAACGTCCATTCACAGTAGCTTCCAAAAGAATAAAATGCACAAGAATAAATTTAACCAAGAAGGTAAAGACTTGTACTCTGAAAACTGAAATAATGTTTACTCATCTGTCAAAATAAAGAAGACATAAATAAATGAAAATATATCTCATATTTGTATATTGGAAGTCTTAAGATGTCACTACTACCCAAAATCACCTACAGATTCAATCCTATCAAACCTATCAAAATTCCCATGGACTTTTGCAGAAATGCAAAAGCTGATCTTAAAATTCACATGAAATTGCAAGTGGCCTTGAATAGCCAAACAATCTTGTAAAAAAAGAACAAAGTTGGAGGACTCATACTTTCTGATTTGAAAATTTAATACAAAGGTAGGGTAGTCAAAGTAGTACTGGCATAAGGATAGACACATGGATTAATGGAATAGACTTGAGAGTCCAGAAATAAACCCATATATCTATGACCAGTTGGTTTTCCACAAGGATGCTAAGAACGTTCAATGAGGAACGAATAGTCTCTTCAACAAATGATGCTGGGAATACTGGATATTCTCCTGCTAAAGAATGAAATTAGACTCCTAAGACATAACTGTATACAAAAATTAACTAAAAATATTCTGTAGATTTTACAGTTTTGTTCTGTTTTAGGCAGGGTCTTTCTCTGTCACCAGGCTGGAGTGTAACGGCACAATCAGCTCACGGCAGCCTTAACCTCCAGGGCTCAAATGATCCTCTCACCTCAGCCTCCCAAGTAGCTGGGACTACAGGCACATGCCACCATGTCCAGCTAATTTTCATATTTTTTAATAGAGATGGGGTTTTTGCCATGTTGCCCAGGCTGGCCTCAAGCTGAACTCAAGTGATCTGCCTGCCTCAGCCTCTCAAAGTGCTGAGATTACAAGCATGAGTCACTGTGCCCAGCCAACTTTATGATTTAAAAATAACATTTTTATGTTTTTAAAGCCATAAAACCCTGAGAAGAATACGTAGAGATAAATCTTTATGACCTTGGATTTGTCAGTGTTTTTGGATATTGGTTCTTAGGCACCAAAGACATGAGTAACAAAAGAGAAGATAAATTGGACTTCATCTAAATGAAAACTTTTTGTGCATCAAAAGAGATTATTAAGAAAGTGAAAAGGCAGCCTGTAGAATGGTAGAAAATATTTGCAAGTTTTGTAGCTGATAAGGATCTGCCATCCAAAATATATCATGAACTCTTACAACTCAACAACAAAAAGACAACCCAGTTATAAAATAGGCAAAAGACTTGAGTGGACTTTTCTCCAAAGAAGATATGCAGATGGCCAAAAGACAAATGAAAAGCTGCTGAACATCATTTTTCATGAGGGAAATGCAGAGCAAAACCATGATGAGGTGCGTCTTCACATCCTTTATAATGGATGGCTATAATTTTTTAAAAAACGTGTTGGCAATGAGGTGGAAAAGTTGAAACCCTCATACATTTTTTTCGTAGGAATATAAAATGAAATATAAAGCTGCTGTGGAAAACTGTTTGGCAGTTCCTCAAAAAAGTTAAGCATAGATTCATTTCATAGGTATGTGCCCCAAATAAGAGAATGCTTGTAACTCAAACAAGTATGTGTATACATGTTTGTAGCAGCAGCATTCACAGAAAAGTGGACCAACCCAAAAGTCCCTCAATGAGTGAACGGATAAACAAATTGTCGTATACACACAATGGAATTATTCAGCCATAAAAAGGAATGAAGTACTAATATATGGTATAAAGTAGATGAACTTCCAAAACCTTAAGCTAAGTGAAAAAAGCCAGACCCCAAATACCACATATTATATGATTCCATTTATAGGAAATATCTAGAATAGATAAATCTAAAGAGAATAGAACACAGATTAGTGGTTTCCAGAAGGTGGTGGTTGGGGGGAGGGGAAGGATAAGAAACTGCTTAATAGGTAAGGGGTTTTACTTTAGAATGATTGGAACTAGATATGGATGGTCATACAACATTCTTAATGTACCATAAGACACTGAATTGTTCACTTCATTTTTAAAATTATTTTATTTTATTTTATTTTTAACAGGTCTTTACCAAGACCAGTTTTATTTAAAATACACTTGGAATAGATGACTATTAATCTAAGCATTTTCCTATCACTTTTAAAATTTTATACTATGTACTTTGTATTACATAGTACAGTACTTAGTTTCAGGAAAAGACATGTAAAATTTGCCATTTTAACCACCTTAAAGTGTACCATTCAGTGACATTTATTATAGTATATTTACAACGTTGTGCAACCATCACCACTAATTTATCAAAATTAAAAAAAAATTTTCAGCCAGATTTAGCAGTGAGGGGCTATATACCAACTTTAATGACACTAAGGTTAATAAGTTCTGATAACCCACTACCATCGGACCAGCCGTAATTCATCCTATTTTCATCATCCTAAAAGGAATCCCCATGCGCATTAAGCGGTCACTCCCTCTTCACCCATCTCCCTAGTTCCTGATAACTACTAATTGGCTTTGTCACTATGGATTTGCCTATTTTGGGTATTTCATATAAATGGAATCATGTGGCTGGCTTCTTCCACTTAGCATGTTTTTAGGGTTCACTCACATTTATTCAGTATGTATCAGTGCCTCATTCCTTTTCATGGCTGAATATTCCATTATATGGATGTATTTTACTTATCCATTCATCAGCTGATAGACATTTGGTTGTCTCTACCTTTTGGCTTTTGTAAGTAGTGCTTCTATGAATACTTGTATACAGGTTTTTGTTTGAATACCTATTTCTAGTTCTTTTGGGTGATACAGACTAGATGATGAATCAACTAAAAACGTGGTAGCAGCTCTACCTCTTTAGCTTTTGTGGGCCTCATTTCACTTTACAGAAGGTAGCATATGTATAACTTAGTGATTCTCGAACAGTATGCACAAAAATCACCTGGGAAGCCTTTTTAAAGACACAGATTGCTGAGTCTCGTGTCCAAAGAGTCCAATTCAGTAGGTCTGGAACCTAGGGATTTTTATTTTTTAAACGAACACTGATTCTGATGTAGGCGGTCTTCCCACACTTGAGGAACTTTGGTAACTGACTGCTCTTTCTCAATGGAAATCAAAGAGGCAAAGGGCACTAAAAAAAGTAAAATGTCGCTTTCCTAATTATCAACTTTTAAAAAACCCTGAAACTTGGACGATAGATATTATGGTACAATATATTTGCTAGGGGAAAAACTGTCTATTAGTAGCACCACCTTCTTCCTTTGAATGGGAAAAGTATGACCAAGAAGCAACATAAAGTATTAGCAGCAAAATACTCTTGAACCAGCTATCATCCCTAAGACTCCCACTATAAACATGTTAGCAACAGTGATAAACGCTGCCTTACAGCAACTTTTGGCTGTAAAAATCTAGTCAATTCAGTCTACTTTTTGATATTTGGTTTTTAATAGTCTTGTTCAAGTAAGAAACTAGCTGCTAGTTGGACTGAACCTGTTCTGAAAAGACATGGAAGATTCATTATAAGCACACAATTGCTTAATGTGAGACTTACTGAAAAATAAAAATCACATTAACGCCCAGCTTAAGGCTTCATTTCCTAAAAAGCTGACGTGATTTATTTTTAGAACCAACCACCTGAAAGGTGATTCTGATTTGAAGTATTCTAACTGATATTAGACCTTAAAAACACAAGACTGTCTTGAGTATTAACTATCTTTAATTAATCGTATTTTATAGAAGCTCAAAACACCCAAATATTTGTCCTTTATGTGAATAAACAAAAGCCCTGTGAATTACAATATGCAGAACACTATATAAAAGAATTCCCATAAAAATTACATTGGGATATTTTCATCAGTGGAGCAACTGCTGTAGCTTTCTCTGAATTGGACAGCATCTGTCTGAATGCACATTCTTCTTTGTGATAATCCAAGCTTAGTGTAAGTACAGATCACAGAAGAAATTAAAGTTTTCATCTTCAGTGAAATGACTTTGGAAATAACGTACATTTCCATGACACCAATACTACAGTTTTCGGAGTCACAGTAAGATACACAGAATTACATCTGTAATTAATAAGAATGCCAACATGTCAAGCAGTAATTTGTTACATGGCAAACACAATCAAGAAAGCAACCATCAAACAAAAGAGACCCATAGCTTCAGACAAGGCAAATCCCAGGATAGCATATGAGAACAGCTGCTGCTTCAGTGAAGGGTTTCTGGCACAACCAATGATGAGGCTGCCAAAGACTGTTCCAATACCAGCACCAGAACCAGCCACTCCTACTGTTGCAGCACCTGCACCAGTAAATTCGGCAGCAGTATCAATGTCTCTGCTGATTACACTGGTCTGAAACTCCCTTTGGATTAGCTGAGACACACCATTCTGGGCCCCATTAAATACCGTAGAGCCCTCTCCAGTCCTAGCCTCTGGTCGAGATAACACTGATGCAGAAATTGGTCTGTATGCAACTCTGGATCCAGCTCGGATCAGAGCGGGAGTGCAGGCGAGCTTGGCGCAGGCGAACATCTTACACTCTTCGGGACCACGCGACTGGAGATATTGGGTGACAGGTGACGTGGGCTCCTCTCCTGCTTCCTCTCTTCCCGTGAGGTGGCGGAGGCACCGGCGGTGGCAGAGGTCGAAGTAATGGGACTCTATTTTTTTATTTTTATTTATTTTTGAGACAGAGTCTCACTCTGTCACCCAGGATGGAGTGCAGTGGTGCGATCTCTGCTCACTGCAAGCTCCACCTCTTGGGTTCATGCCATTCTCCTGCCTCAGCCTCCCAAGTAGCTGGGACTACAGGCGACCACCACCACACCTGGCTAATTTTTTTTTTTTTTTTTTGTATTTTTAGTAGAGACGGGGTTTCACCATGTTAGCCAGGATGGTCTAGATCTCCTGACCTCATAATCCGCCCGCCTCAGCCTCCCAAAGTGCTGGGATTACAGGCGTGAGCCACCGCGCCCGGCCACTTTAAAATGGTTATTGAGGCCAGGCATGGTGGCTCATGCCTGTAATTCCAGCACTCTGGAAGGCTGAGATGGGCGGATCACTTGAGGCCAGGAGTTTGAGACCAGCTTGGCCAACATGGTGAAACCCCATCTCTACTAAAAATACAAAACTTAGCTGGGCATGGTGGTGCACACCTGTAATCCCAGCTACTTGGGAGGCTGAGGCATGAGAATCTCTTGAACCTGGGAGGTGAAGTTTGCAGTGAGCTGAGATTGTGCCACTGCACTCCAGCCTGGGCGACAGGGAGAAATTCTATACCCCCTGTCCCCCACAAAAAAGGTTATTTGACCCCATGCCTCTCCTCCATGCACCCTTCCTGCCCCCTTCAGCTTCCCTCTTGCTAGGTGACCAGGAAGGAAGAAGCAATTTAGTCAGGATGGCTAAAGGTGACCCCAAGAAACCGGAGGAAAAGGTGTCTGTTTATGTCTTCTTTTTGCAGACATGCAGAGAAGAACATAAGAAAAACCCAGAGGTCTCTGTCAGTTTTGCAGAATTTTCCAACAAGTGCTCTGAGAGGTGGAAGATAATGTCTGGCAAAGAGAACCCTACATGTGATGAAATGACAAAGGCAGATAAAGTATGCTATGCTTGGAAGATGAAGGATTGTGAACCAGTTAAGTGAGGCAAGGATCTTCATGTGTCCAAAAGGCCACCGTCTGGATTCTTCCTGTACTGTTCAGAATTTCACCCCAAGATCAAATCCATAAACCCTGGCATCTTTATTAGAGAGATGTAGCAAAAAAACTGGGTGAGATGTGGGATAACTTAAGTGTCAGTGAAAAGCAGCCTTGCATCACTAAGGCAGTGAAGCTGAGGGAGAAATACGAGAAGGGTGTTGCTGACTTTTAAGTCTAACAGCAAGTCTGGTGCAAAGGGTCCTGCTAAAGTTCCCTGTAAGTTCCCTGGAAAAAGGTGGAAGAAGAAGTCAAAGAAGATGTGAAGAAGAAGAGGAGGAGGAGGAAGAGGAAGAGGAAGAAGAAGGTGATGATGAATAAAAAACTGTTTATCTGTCTCCTTGCGAATACCTTAGAAAGTAGGGTAATTGACACATCTGTTGTTTGAGAAATGTCTGTTGCCCTCATTAGGTTTAATTACAGAATTCGATCACAATCATAGTCTCTCAGAGTGCTCTAAAAATTGACAGTGGTTTACCTGAAGTGGTCATATGTGTCTGGAACACTCTGAAATTGTATCAAAGTTGTACATATTTCCAAACATTCCAAAAATGAAAAGATAATCTCGTATTTTCCTCACTCTATGCACTTTGCCGTTGGTGTGACAAAGCATTTAAAGATATTTCTGGCATTTTAAAAAACATTTGTAAGGTGGTATTAACTATATGGTTATTGGCTAGAAATCCTGTTATCAACTGTACATATATATAGTTTATGAAAAGAACGAAACAACCAAGACAAACTCTTGGTGCTTGTTTCTTGGCACTGAGCCTGTGGGGGACAACGCCTTTTGGAGGGGTCGTAGTGCACTGTGAGGCTAGTCCTGTTTCCCCTGCAATGTTCATCCATTTAGCTTCAGCTTGTCTTGTTTCTACATACGGTAATGTAACACTCTGCTACCATTCTTAGCTGTGGACAAAGAGGGGTCAGCTGGCCTGAGAAGTGTTTGGATTTTTTTAGTTAAGTGCATTGTCTAAATTTTCTGAACAAGCTGTAGAACGATTGTCAGCAAACTAAAGAGCCAGTGCATCAATGAAAGTTCAAGAAAGAACCTTCTGTACTTAAATGTGATTTTCAGTGTTCTGGGTTTTTTTCGTATGTTTAGAATGTTGAAATGTTTTTGAAGTGAAATAGTATTAAAATGATTTTAGAATTTTGCTTCAATAAATTGTTTTTAAAAAGACTAAATAAATGATAATATAAAGCTCAAAGAAACATAACACATTTGAGTGATTGCGGTAGAAGATGAGTTTATGGGGGAATATGTAAAGTCTCAGTGCTAGAACCCATTGGTGAGGGTCAGGGTAGAACCAGCAACAAGTGATCTGCTTTGCAGGAGGAGCCTGGGAGGATTAGGAGATTCACTCAGGGCTGGGGTTGGGCAAGTCTTGATCAGAGTTGTGGTTGCCTTGAGACTTATAAAGGAGAATGCAATGTGAAGTGAAGCAGAGCAGGTTGGGTGGCAGCAAGAGAAGTGAGTTGCAACAGATTATCACATCAATGGCCTATAGCCCAAAGGCAAGGGGATTAAGACGTAAGAGACATTAATTTGGAATATCAGTGTTTACTGATATTCCAGTAATGGGAGAACAGCTTGGACAAGGATGAATATGGGGGCTATTACCCACAGCTAAGATTTGATATGATTTGGGGATGTGATGTTTGGATAGGATAGCTCAATTTAATGTGTCAGAGTAGAGCAGACATAAGGTCTTCATGTCCCTCTACTTAGAAATAAGGTTGGTCGCAAAATATCAGTGAATCTGAGCCTGTAGGTAGGGGCGAAGGAGTCTCAGTTACAAAAATTAGAAATTACAGAGGCCAAAGTAGGTTGCTGTGTAGCTATTGGAAACATGTAGAGCTTGATAGCTAATGATAGTGACTTTCCCCCACAGTCAGTTTCTAGGAGTGAAAGATCAAGATGGTCTGCCTGTAATTATTGGACATAATATTTTAATTACAACTGGAAAAAAATTAAAAGGATGAAAAAGATAAAATATGGAAATGTAAGCAAAAGAAAGCCTGGAGTGTCTGCATGAAGATCATAGACAAGGTAGACTTCAGAACAAGGAATAGCACCAAGAGTAAAGAGGACTATCTATAATGATAGTTCACCAAGAAGACATTACAATCTTAAATAAGATTGTTATGGAGTGTGTTTAGGAGTGTGTGTCACCTAAGGTGTGTATGCTAGCAGGAACATTAACCTGAACTGATAGAACTGAAAGGTAGAGTGAACAAGTTCAAATCTTTGACGTCCCTGTCTCAGTAATTGATGAAGCAAGTAGGTAGCAGAAGACCTGAACAGTACTGTCATCCAGCCTGCCCTGATAGGTATTTATGGAACACTCTACCTCATAACAGCAGAAGACATATTCTTTTCAAGCATACATGGAAGATTTATGAAGATAGAACATATTCTGGGCCTTAAAAGAAACTTTATCAAATTTGAAATAATAGAAATCATACAAAGGATCTTCTCTGACTCTAATAGCATTCAACTAGGAATTAATAATAGGTATCTGGAAAATCCCCTAATATTTGGAAATTAAACAATACGTTTTTACCCATGGGTCAAAGAGGAAGTCTAAAAGGAAATTAGAACATACTTTAATTAAGTAAAAATGAAGACACAATATCTAAAAATTTGTGGGACCCATCTAATGCAGTGCTTAGTGGAAAATGTATTAAGTGCTTATAATATTAAGTGGAGAATGTATTAAGTGCTTATTAGGCAAGTCAGTAAGTCTCAAACCAATAATCTAAGCTTCCGCCTTAAGAAACTAGACATATAAAGCAGATTCAAGCTAACCAAGCAGAATGGACAAATAATAAAAAGAGCAGAAATCAGTTAAATTGAAAACAAAAGTAGAGAAAATTTGTGAAACCAAAAGCTGGTTTCTTGAAATGATCAGTAAAGTTGACAAATCTCTGTCCAGACTGATGAAAGAAACAACCAATGTCAGGAATGACATTAACTTTTTACAGGTGTGGCCTAGTTGTCTTATTTCATATTCTAGATTTGTCTAATTCCTTCCTCATGGTGTCATTGTATTTCTTATAAACTACACTCAGACGTTTAGATTACAGATGATGTTGTAAACTTCTTTTTGCTTTAAATCAGGAAGGCACATGATATAAATTGTGCCCACTGTTAGTGATGCTGAGTTTGGTTTCCGTGCTAGGTTTGGTTATCTCAAGACTCTTTCCCTCGTAAAAGCTATGATTTCATGTTTGCCACTATTAAGTGATATGTTTGAAATATTTTTTACTAGGTAACTATCTTGTTCTCCATCCACCTTTTACCGAATGCTTTTACCCTCCATGGATGATCCTTATGGAATCAGTTATTACATCAGGTTTCCAAAATGGTGATTTTCATATTCTCTCATTTTTCTACATTTATTAGCTATAAACAAGAACCTTTCTCTTTTTTTGCTTTTAATATCTCTGGCTCCCTCTGACTCACTATAAACTCTTTTATGTTACTCCAGATTTATTGACTTTTGTTCAATATTTCATATAATTCTTAATAGTTTCAATGCTATTGGTACAGTGATATGCTGTATAGTTATCTTACGATAGTATATTAAACTTCGGAGCAGCAGTTTTTAAAAGGTAAAGTTTATTTTTAACTAATTTTGAGTATTGGCTTTGTTTAACAAGTGTTTCTGCGGTTCCAGTTATAGAATGATTGTCTTTAGTAGGTCACTGCTTCCATTTTACGCTGGCACTTGATAGTTGGAACCTACTATTGTTAGTTTTCAAAAATCATTGAAGGCCAGGCACAGTGATTCATGCCTGTAACCATAGCACTTTGGGAGACAAGACGGGAGGATTGCTTGAGACCAGAAGTTCAAGACTAGTGACATAGCAGGACCCTGTCTCTACAAGAAATAAAAAAAATTAGCCAAGCATGGTGGGACATGCCTGTAAGTCCTAGCTACTGGGGAAGCTGAAGTG